TTTTTTTTTTTTTTTTTTTTTTTTTTTTTTTTTTTTTTTTTTTTTTTTTTTAAATATTACAAGTTAAACTTCTCGGAAATTTTTTTTTAAATATTTCAAACAAAACTCCTATAAATTTCCCTGGTTTTTCTAGTTTGATAAAATTCCACCACTTTTGCCTATTCTCCCTGTCCTGTGGTCAGGGAAAAAGAATAAAAGCTTTAAGAATTAACTTTAAAATAAATGAATTAATAATAGTTTATAGGAAAAGATACAGTTATTAATAGAAGAAATCATTTTATCATATTTAAGATACAAAAAGTTCACTTTTTTAATGATACATTTAAAATTACAATAATAAAGATAATGAAAAGTCTTAATCCTATCCTTATCTAAACTTAAATCAGTGTTGCTCTGTATCTAATTGTTTGAATATTAGACAATGAATTAAAAAAACTTTTTTTTATGTATCATATATATATATATACAAAACAAATTATCATTGCCTAAGAAAAAGACTTTAATATTTTTAATATGTAGATAAATTTTTAACTTTACAGTATGTTATCTTAGAATGAAAAAATTCTGACTTTACAAAATTATTAAAAGTCGACAGTCTAGTCCAGAGGTCGCCAAAGTGGTCTATATAGACCCCCAGGGGTCTATTTAACAAAGGTGGGGGTCGATCTGAGCCAGGGGGTCGAATGGGGGTCTATCCGAATCGGAAGGGTCGATTGGGGGTCTATGAAAAAACAGTTCTTAATACGCATTTCACACATACCTAATTAAGTATGTAAAATTTGTGAGTTTTTTTATAACTGACTTAATATCAGTTTCTTTATAGAACATAAATTAATAAACGTATATTAGGGTGAAACAAGTAATTACGTACCTGCGCACAGTGGTACGAACTCTGCACTTCTGGTTTAGAAGTCATATGCATATGTGCCATAAAATTGACCAATTTTGAACCCAATATAGCGAACCTTGCAAAAAAACACCAAGCACACCCATCTCATTGATTAAGAAGCAATAAATCTGTAGTTACTTTACTTATTATTTCTACTTATTTATAATGACTTATTATTTAATAAATATTAAGGTATTTAAATTTCAATATCAATATATTTTTCATAAAACTACTGTTACACAATGTACTATTACTTTAATAAATGTTTAAAATCATAAAATAAATGTACAAACACAGTATCTAACAGAGTTTTATGACAGAACAGTTTATTAACAGAAAACTACTTTTATGGGGTCGATGGAGATTTCGAAAAATTATATAGGGATCGATGATCAAAAAAGTTTGGCAACCCATGGTCTAGTCTTATGACGTATGTTTAGTTATATAGCGTTGTTAGTGAATTTATATTATAAATAAAATTATCAACAAAATTCAAAAATGTATTTAAGTTTCATTCAAAAACTTTTCAACTAAAAATTTTTTCACTAACAAACAATATTGATAAAAAAAATACAGTATTATTTGCTTTTTCAAATTTAAAGCTTAGCTTGTATTATTTCTTTTTTAATGACTTTCTGTTTAACCATTTGATGACAGCTGGTGCAAGTGCTGTATCAAAACAAAACAAAAAAAACAGATTCAAGTTTACTAAGTGCCGTTATCCAGAAGGTCAAATGATGTCAAATAATCATATCACTAAATTCAAAATGAAATATAGAGTTGAAAAAAAAAATTACTTTGATTAAAGAAGACCGTAGTTCCATTAGGGCATTTATCATCTGCTTTGTTGCATTATTTAGTTGAAGACTAGTGGACGGATCAGTGATTGTGGGAATGGCAGCTTTAGATGCGGCAACCATTTTATTTCCAGGCTATCAAGAAACAAGTAGAGCATTTTTAGAAGTCCCAAGATTTTTTTTCCATGTAACATTTTAAATTAAACACATAACATGTCTAAAGAGTGTCATGAATGTAATATTTACCTGAAGCATGGTTTCACAGGAGCTGATTAAAGATAGTTGTGCAGATGGATTATCCACATCCATCATAGTACTTTTAACTCCCTGAACTAGTTTTGGAATGACATCTGCTACGTCCTTACAGCAAGTCATAAGCTCATCTTGTGAGCTTGGATTACGGTTGTATAACCTTGCACCTTGAGCTGCAGCAATGTTCTGCGTTGACATGGCAGCAGTGTGTTTGGCAGCTTGTTCGAGACGTCTGATGAGTTTCCTCTTCAGGGCATTGTTTGCAGCAGCATTTGTGGCACTTCTGAGGTCTTCTGCTGCTTTTTGTAGAGCAGCTTGTGAAGCTGAGTCATGGGGGTTAGAGGCACATCCTTTTGCCGCTTCAACCATCTTAGCAGTTGCATCAGCAAGAATTTTGGCAGCAGCTAAAAGCCTTTTCTGTATATCAGAATCAGACTGAGAATCGGCTTCACCTTTGATAGCTTGGATTAATGTAGCAGTAGCAGTGGCTAAAATTTTTGCTTGTCTCACCATTTCGCCGGCATCTCCGGTGCTACTGAAGAGTTTATCTGTGGCATCCAATATAGTATCAACAGCACCATCATGAACTGAGGCTTGAGCTCGCTGTTTATTTACAGTTTTCACGTGATTGACAAGATCATTCAGAGCATCTTCCACGTCATTGCTAGCTTTATCCATATTGTCCAGTAGAACTGGATCTCTTGTAGCATCATTGCAAGCTTTGTTAATACCTTCAACAGCTCTAGATACTTCCTTGGCTGCTTCAATAAGTTGTTGTTGGCAAGTAGGATTGGAGATAGTCGGTGCAACCACTTTTGCGCATGCTAGGAGCTGAGATGACGCCAATGCACACTGAGTAGCAGCAATAATAACAGCATTTTGCTGGGCCTGATCATCACATTTGCTGGCAACATTTTTAGCTTTCAACACCAAATTAGCAGTTGCAGTGGCAACTCTTTTCGCTAAACCAAGCAAAATATCTTGTATCTCCTTATCGATGGCGTCTTCTTCCCCAATGTTTCTCAAAACAGCATGACTTGCTTCACCCACTCTGCCAGCAGCATTCAACAAGTTCTGTCGGGGTTCTTTTGTTTCTGGTTCAGCAGCCTTCAAGAAGTCAGAAAAGGCTGAGCACAAATTCCTGGCAGCATCCAGCAGATTCTCACCTTGCATTTCATCATCCATCAGAGCAGCTATCATCTTAACATCATTAGACATTTCAGACAAATTTGTTGTAATGGTAGTTACTGCTGCCCCTACAGCTGGGTGATCAACATCTTCAGCTGGTCCAGAAGTAAGGGTGATGACTTGAGCAGTAGCAGCATTCATAGCAGCTAACTGAGATGATACATTCTGCTTTTTAACATCCATTTGGTTTTGTTTCCATTGGATAGATGCCGGATCTGTTCCTAGTTCTTGAAGCTTTATTCTTACATTAAGATTATTTTGAGCATTTTCAACAGCACTTCTTCCTGATGTAATTGTGCTGAGTAAAGCTCTCTGAGGCTCAGACATTGTAGTGTGCACTTTTGGGTGCTGCATCTAGAAATAGACAAAATTTTTCAGTCATTTTTATAAATTCAAGACTTGGTAACGTATAAATTTTAGACTGGGACAGCAATTTTTACCTGTACAGAAGCATAAGCACTGTGTGCTTGCCCTCTTGATTCACCAAACTGTGCTCCTTGGGTTTGCCCAGTAGTGTAAGGCATAGGTCCTATGAAAAAGAAAAGGAAAAAAAAAGAGAAAATTTATATTTTCCGAATGTAATAAATATTAATACTTTACAAAAAAATTAATCTTGTGATTATAATAATATCAAATAGTTGGTTTCTTTCATCTTAATGTCAGCCGTTACTTGGGAGAATGGCTCTGATGTTAACTTACAGAATGCTTGCTAAGAATATTTGACAATTTCAAATAATTGTTTTCTTGTTTAAAAATAAACCCACATATCATTTATTGGGAATTAGATACATTATATGGCCAATCCTGCACAAATTTACTAAGCTTAACATTCAGAGGGGTTAAAATAGTACTTCATTAAATGAGTTATGTTAATTTCTGACTTTTCCATCAAATTTTAAAAATAGTTCTTTACTGTAATTTTTAGTATTGGAGAAAAAAATGCAAATTTGCAAAAAATAAAAAAATTTTAAGAAAATAATTTTAAGGGTCATTTAAAAATTATGTCATTGGTGGAGGTAATGGTAATTTGCTTACATAGCATTTAAACAGCCTTTTACGTTTTAACGAATTATTTATTTAATAAAAGAATAAATAACTTAGTGGTAACGTAATTTAGCAGCTATAATTACTATTAGATTTGGAGTAAGAGTTTTATAATTTCAAATAACTTATATTTAATAAAAAAGCATTCATTTTACATTGGAATTGTATTAAAAAAATTTTTTTTAATAGTTTTATTATTTTTTTTCGATCCAAATATATTAAAACTATATATGTAAGAAATTCTGCTAGGAAGTACACACACTGAAGGAATTTGAAAGACAATGCCCATAGATAAAGTATCTGTTTATTTTCACAACTTCATATAAAATTAAATGGTACTTTGATGATTGATTTCCATTTTAAATAAATGATAATTTAAAATTAGCTACACCACTAACATACCAAAACAATGATTAAAAATAACTTACCATTGACACCAGTTCTCATAACAGCAGGAACAACAACAGAACCCGAGTCAACATGAGAAACTTTTGCAGGAGGTTGATGCTGCAATATAGTAGCCCTGAAAAAGATAAAATCAACCTTAGATTATTTTTTTAAAACTTAGTTCAATTTAAAGACCCATACTATAGACTAAATATTATTAATTAATTAGATACTATATATATACATCACAATGAAGCCAAAAAGATAAAGAGAGAAAAACAAAGAAAATTAAGAAAAATATTTATGAAAATAACATCTGATGACAATAAGAATAACATTAATGAAAAAAGAGCAAAAGTTTTCATTCCAAATAATGATGTTGCATGAGCAAATGTAAGTTTCAGCAAAATGTGAATTGTTCTCATGCAATATGGTTAAGCTGCTAAGTCGTAGAAAAATGCAAAATAAGCAATAATAGTCAGATTTTAATGGATTTTGCATCAAAAACTTATCTTACTCTTTAACATAGAAACTTTTAAAAGCAAGTGCAGTAAAAAGCAAACAGTTGTATCGATTTTTATACATTAAATTAAAAACAATAATTATCTAGACATAAGTTTCACAATGGCTCCTGGCTCACAGAAATAGTGAATTTTTAATGCTCGCCTATGAAATATATTATGTACATTTCATAGGATAAAATGGTAATAATGAAATTAATGGAATTGAAAAAATTATCAGAAGTTCCTAACATTAATAAGTACCTCCTTTAGTTGAATATGTATGTATATGCACACGTATATGACCAATATAGTAAATAATAAATAAATCAACATGACAAGAGTCATTGACATTGTCTAATATATAAGAATACATACTTGGCAGCAGATACATTTTCTTCAACCATAGCAGATCCCTCATCTCCTTCAATGCCTAGATGATCTTTTGCTTTTTTCTATAAGAAATTATTGAAAAAAATAAGTGCAATTCAAACTTTCACTTTAAATAAGTAACTAAAACCTTACAGTTTTCAATATTCAGCCATTTTTTAAAAATGTGAAGTTACTCAATACATTGTTTGAGGCAACGAAAAAAAAGAGAAAATTAAGAATTATTCATTAATTTCAATAATCTTCATTTAAAATTTTGCGAAATTGACGATTTTTTAAAAAAAGTTAAGTAATTTTTTAAATAATTTAAGCCATTTGAAAATCTTAAAGTTCAGACAATCATTTTAAGGAAAGTAATATAGTTTAAAGCTCTGATTTTATTTTAAGCTTCGAAAAACATCATTTCCCAGACATTTAACTGAAAACTGGGCAAAAATTTTTTTTATCAAATAAAAACATGAAGTAAAGCTTTTTACATAATTTGTTAGAGTAAGAACAGGCTGAAAATTTTACCAATACATAAATTGCGGAGAAAATTTATCAGAGTTCTTTACACCAAAGTTACATTTTTCTGAAAAATAAAATTATAATTTAAAATATATAGTATGAATTACCATTTTTAATATAATATCAATATATCCATTAATCAATTGTGATATTTGTTCCCCTTCTGATGTTTGTACAGAGTAGTATGAATCAGAATAATCTCCAAAATCTAAAGTAAAACTATTGGGAGATGCTGCACATCTTCGAACTTTTGTAAGAGGCCATGTCTTAAGAATCTGAAATATAATTTATAATATATTAGAGCTGGGCAATTCATGGATGTATCATGAAATATGAATATTTTTTAAACACATTAACAATACATTTAAAATTAATTCCACAAGTCTTATGATAATTTTCAAACGTACTATGATTGAAACAATGATAACACCATTTTCAGTACCAAAAACAAAAAACAATGGGTATGATAATCAGCATTGTAAAAAAGCCAGCCCTTTTTGAAAAAGGCTCACTTTATTTTTTTGTTACTTTGAATAAAAAAAAACTGCAGAAAAAGATTAACTTTGAAAAAATGACAATTTCAAAAATGCCAAGCAGCAGTAGTGTTGTCTGTAAAAACTTTGTTGTAAGACATGTTTCTCAAAGTTAAACATTTAGCTAATATTCTACAAATGACATTTCCTACAAACAGATTTTCTTACATTGAAATGGGCAAAGAAAAATACTCCACCTGATTTTTTGTCAGGACAAAATTTAATGGGAAAGCCAATAAAAAAAAATTGCTATTAAAAAAGCCAATTTCATTATTATTTAAATAAATAAGAATTTAAAATATTTATATACTTCAGGAAATATATAAATGATATACAAATTTAATCTATAAAAAATTAGAGCAGATGAAGATAAAGAATATTCTTTGGGAGAACAAAACGAGTAATTTATATTAATGCGAGTAATGTTATTGTGATTAATATATAAGTATATTGTGCATTACTTCAAATGCAAAAATAAATTAATATTAATTTCTCAAAACTATTCATTTAATAAATGAGAATAAGAAATCTATGAAAGAACTTAATTATTTAATTTTAATACAATATTTATCATCCAAAAATTAAAATTAGACCATTTTAGAATAAAAAAAGTTAGCATTTTCTTAAAATAAAACTATCATACCTCTTTTGTTTTTTCGTCCAATCGCAAAACACTATCTTTAGTAACTCCTAAAAGTTTAGGAACCAATTTATTTTTTCTATTCATTTTCTCCTATAAAATGAGCAATGCAGTTTACAAAAATAGTATTACAAAAATAAAATTGAATTCAATCAATCAATAAATAAATTAAAAATACCTTAACAAGAAAAAATGTGACACCATACGTCTTAAGTGACCTAGCAAGGCTGACATATTTAACTTTAGCATCAAGCTCTGAATCACCAACACATTTTTTATGTTCCTAAAAACAGTAAAAAGTAAATTAGATCTAACTGGACAAGTTATTCAACAATAACAAACTTTTTTATGAAGAAATATTAAAAAATAAATAAATAAAAAAAATTAAAAAAAACTACTTACAGCAAATACTTTCTTTTCTATTCCTTTGGATTTAACATAATCTTTAGGTAAAAACTCTTTTAAACTGAAACAGAAAAAAAATTGTAAACAATTTATAATTAACGACAAACTTTACCATATTTATCACATATAATGGAGCATAAATAGATAAATAAACCATATTTTTTTTAGAACTTTATACATTTACCAGATTCATAGAAAATGGGATTTCTGAATGGGAATCAATCAGGAACAAAACGAAAAAAACAAACTAACTACAAAATATTTTTATAAGGACAACTATGAATAAAACATTGTAAATATGTTTTTGAATGATATGGGGATTTTTCATTTTTCAGAAAATATTTTTAACATAATATTGAACATTAATAACAAATACTTAATAAAATTATTTCTAAAACCTTTAGCAAATGGTCTCTTCTGACAGTGGATGAATCCAGCATTTCTTTGACCGATCTGGTTTTCAAAACTCCATCCCCAAGGAAAAAATGAAGCAATTTTTTAAAAAGATATCTCAAGATTTTTTTTTTACATAGTTTGAGCCACATTACAATTCTAAAGATGTGTTCATTTATTCTTATTATTTCTAAAAATAATTATCTAGTAAAATTTCATAATAAGAATCTAACAATTTAATGGGTATCTAGTATAAATATAGCTTATAAAAATTACAAAAAATTTTTTTCAAGTGTTCTCAAATTAATTTTTTCGCATTTTACCCCTGGCAAAGATAACACTTTGGAAAAGTAGACATTAAGATACATTTTCTTTTATCACAAAAAATAAAAATAAATAAATAAAATAAATCTGGTTGATAAAGTTACCTAGGTAGTCTGAGTAACTTAACCTACTAGGTTGTTTAAATTTTTTGAAAGAGAAAGTAAAGAACTACTTGAAAGTAAATTAAGTCTAAGACTTTCCACAGATCTAGGAATTATTTTTCAAACTCTAATGATAGAGAAGTACTCTAATTTTTAACAATTGGCAAACATTTAACATCTTTTAACATTCGAAATTTAAAATTTGGCAAAGTAACCACAATTGGTGGTGAAACTCTGAATATAAAAAGTGTTTATAATTTAAAAATAAACCTACTCTAAAAATCCAGATTTGTGCTTAGTTTCAACATGGTCACCAAACTGAATTTGGCACTGGATTCCAGCAAACTGTGCACCCTGTTCTATTGTGACAGGATGAGTTCCCTTGATGATTGCATCTCTAGCCTGCACATACAGTAAGTTTAGTTGAACTGGATCCCTAGAATCTACATTTTGGTCTGAGAAGAAAAATTTTCGTCTTAAAAGAAGAGTCTCTTCTTCCTCTATGCCTTGTTCTCTAAGAGTTTTAGAATGATCAATCCAGTTCACTAGAAAAATATAAATAAAATGTGATTGACAAAAATAGTATACTAACATATAGTTAGTAACAGATGGCAGTGACACACATACTAATGTATCCCCACTTATATTACTTTACTAGCTTAGAGTTAGGAAGCATATTAATATGAAGTTGTAAGCAATGATCTATACCAAATAAAGCATGCAATAATTTAACTATTTAAACCAGTGATTTCCAAAGTGGTCTATACTGACCCTCAGGGGTCGACGACAACCTGCAAAGGGTACATGTCAAGTGAAAAAAAAATTGGGGTTCCATGAAATGAAGATCGGGACAACAATAGTGGAGCTCATATAAGCAGGTTGTGACTTTAATTTTGGCATTTCATGAATGGAATAATCCACATACACTGATAGTACCTATTTACTTACATTATACTGCCTTATAATATAAAGACATATATCTATCTACATTCTACATAATTTATAAAAGTAGCTATGAAGTAAAAATTTTATTAAAATATAAGTTACTAGGATTATTTTCTGATATATGAAATTGATGGCAAATGTTGATGATTTATTATTGAAGCATCAGGTTCATCCCTCCCACCACAAGCATTTATTTATTGCTTAGTTATTTAATATAACAGATACTAAATTTTAATTTGCTTTGTTTTAATTTGAATTTAATTAATAAGTGTATAAAATTAACATGTGTTTTTTTCTTAAGTTTTTCACACTACAATTAGAAATTTAAATCTTTTTACCGTGAGTAGTACTATACCAGCAGACAAAAATACATTTGAAGTTGATGAATTAACAAAAAATCAATATCAGGTAAACGGGGGTCTACCCAAAACCGAAAAACATGGCAAGGGGTCTACGAGACAAAAAAGTTCGGGAACCACTGATTTAAACTATACAATTTGGTCCATCAACTCAGTAACAGACATTGCTTAAAGAAAACCACCAAGCTGTATTGCTAATGCATCAATATTGCATCCACTAGTTATTTGGTTGTAGTTAATATAGTTGTTAGTTAAAAAGATTAAGTTGAAAAAAAAGTTAAGATAAACAGAAATATCAGCCACCTGTCAAGTAAACTTCCAAGGGTTATAACCCTGAGCAAAATTAAGTGGAATTTGAGTTACAAAAAGTAATTAGTTAAAATTCATGATAAAATTATTTTAAACAAACATAATTATTATTTAAAAGTTAAAAAAGTTTCAGTTCTTAAAACAGTATTAATATTAAACAGAAGAAAACTTACAATCATCATCTGTTTTTAACTTCTTTTTGAGCTGTTCCATTTTTTGGTCCTTATCTTTTTTATCCTGAAACAATTCAAACAAAATATGAAAATATTCGAGAAGAAAATTACTATAAAAAAATGGGCAGAAAATTAATAAAATGTATATTTACCCTCCTTAGAGTGAGGGTACCGGTATTAGGTTCTTTGTTTTCATCAGGTATATCACGGATTAGAGAAAACTCATCGTGATTAGTGATACCTAAAAAGAAAATTTGTTTTATCAGTAAGAAATAGAGCAAAGAGTATATGACATCGACAAGTAACAGTTTTCAATAAATAAAAAGAGGAAAAACACACTGAAATAAATAAAGAAATGCGTCTGGGAAAAAATTTTTGGGGCACCAAATTTATTAGCACCCGAAAGGATATTTTTGTTTAAATGTTGCTTTAAAGGGTTAAAAATATTAACTTTAATGAACTGATTTATTATTGTAATATATCTATATATAGATTAATATATAAATAAATATAGATATATAGTTTTTCACAAGTTTTGTTTTTTCTTTTTTAATTTTAGCAAGAGGATTGATACATAATATTAAAAGAACAATAAAAAAATTAATGTTGCTGAAAATAATGGAATGCAAGTAAAGGTTTAAATAAATTTTAAAAAAAAACTTTATATAAGTTTGAAAGATTTAGATAGCAAAACTCCCCCCCCCCTAACTGTAGAAATCTCACTTTTACTGATAAAGCATCTAATGTTACAAAAAATAATACAGACTAATCTCTCAGCCATATTCAAAAAAGCCAAATTGCCAGCAACAGATCTCAATGTTTATTGATCAAAGGATAAGTTTTATCTGATCAGTTTTTACATTTTGAGAACGGTATCTTAGAAAACTTTCCTTCGTGAAATTACAAAAAAAAAAATCGTAATAATAAAAAGTAGAAAATTGCAAATACAAGGAAGAATCTCAAAAGATAAAAAATATTGATTTAAAATTAGAGTAGTTAACTCTTTTGTGCCTAATCAAGCCTACCTATTTTTGTGCAAATAACAACCATAAGATTAGCAACAACTTGACTATCATCTACAAGGACGGTTTTTACTGTTCCATCTAACATCCGAATTCGCAGAGTCCTCATCTTTCTCTTGTATTCAAGGAGATCCTGGAATGAAAAAAAGATAACACTTTGG